ATGCTCGGCGAACTGGCGGGGGGGGAGAAGCGACGTAGGGGGGGACAGGAACAGAACTGGCCGAAGTGTGTGCTCGACGACCTGAAGGCATATCGGGGCGGACCACGGATCTACGAAAACCGGTCCATGTTGTCTCGGAATCCCGGTACCGAAAGACACGGCACCGAAGTTAAAGTGGACGGTAGCCGCAAAGGTGGATGGGGAAGTACCCTGGCATGCGGCGGTGCTGCAGGGAGCTGAGAGGTTCATGACCTCCTGGCACGAGAAGGAAGAAGAGGTTAGCCGACAACGGACGCTCAAACGAAACCACAAGCCACCAACAAATGGGGCGGGAGGGGGGCAGGAGACGGACGAGACGGCGAGGGAAGAAAGCAAAGGAGAAGAGACGGACCGAGTGGCGCGATACGTGCCGCTGCACCATTGCACCAGCCCCCCACTAGTGATGACGTACCATTGCCATGTATCGCTGGTTGGTGGCCATGTTTGCGTGTTTGCTTGTCGTTAGTGGCCTCTCCACCGTGTGCCTTTTTCTGTCTCTTTTTCTTGTTATTTTCGGCCTGGTCCCTTTCTGTCCTCGCTCTTTTTCAGTTCATTTTCCCTTTCCTTACTGTTTCCTTTTATTTTCTTCTCTTTTTCTCTTTTTCTCTCGTATTCTGTGCCAGATGGCCTTGTTTCTGCTTGCGTTGTGAATTACCAAGATTGAACCAAGGGGGTGTACCTCATTCTCGCCGGCCCGTGATGGTGACCCCTGGTTTCAGTTGTTACCTCGCATAGCGCGCAGAGGGAGTGGAGGACTCCATAATATCTGTCGTTGATTTCTATTGACTTGCGGACCCCTCGGGGCCATTTTATTTGAGTGTACCTTTTTAGGGTAAGTTAGCCTGCGACCACGGGAATCGACCGCGTCGAGTGTTGTATCAGTACGGACATGCGAAGGTACTGGATTAAGAGAGATCGGAACGGTTTTCAATGTGAAGACAACAACAACAACAACAACAACCACAAACAGCCCCCCTACTTGATACGATGTGCGATCTTGCAACCCTTCACGCGCAATCAGCCAACACAGAAAAACACCCCTNTAAGAGAGATCGGAACGGTTTTCAATGTGAAGACAACAACAACAACAACAACAACCACAAACAGCCCCCCTACTTGATACGATGTGCGATCTTGCAACCCTTCACGCGCAATCAGCCAACACAGAAAAACACCCCTTGAGAAAACTTAATCAACAAAACTGACCACACATTCAACTCAACGCGTCTCCATCAGTTTATTCACGATATCAACGCGTTCGTCTCTCGAACTAATCTCAAACCGTTGACACACAAGAATCATCCTCAGAAAGGTACCCAACACTCTTTGCGTTACATCAGAAAGGCGTCGGAACGAAAACGGATATTTCTGGAAACAACAACTTTGCAAGAGTCAGCACCAAATCCTCAAACAAAACAAAAACTCAACTTTTCGACCAATCAAAACGAGAATTCGGAAAGCACAACGGCCCCAACCATTAATCGTCAAAAAATGTCAAACCCTTCCTCCAATACAGTGTCCAAGAACCAAATCCTAAACAGCGCGCACCCGCTAATCGGTACCGTCGCTGTTGTCCAAGAGACGATAAAAAACGTAAGCAAGCACCCACGCAAACAGCCCCCCTGCTGTCAGCTCCCAAAATTCACCCCGAGCTTATATTTCGATGCCAACAGCGCCCTTGCTTTGCCGTTCACCTAACACACAAGTAGGCGCGACCAGAAAACAAACCAATTCGATTGCTGCTCATGCCCTCTAGAATCATGGTCATACATGACATCATGACATCCCGCCCCCCATGATTTTCGATGCAAGAGCAGCAAAACATGTGATGCAAACCAGAACATGAAAACACGTTGTTCGTATACAAGTCCTTTACTTGGAAGGGGAGGACGTTTTATCTCTTGTATTGACACGCAAGGGGAGTAGGGAGAAGTGAAGCCCTCTTTGGAGTTCGAGGGGTCCCCGCACATGCAACCATTTCAAGGTGTACATATGCCCCATCTGCCTGCCCTCTGTTGTTGCCGGTAGATCTAACCAGTCCGTATCCAAACACAAGAACACCCTCCACGGTTTTCACGCGAATGGCAAACCTAACGTGGGGCATGGATACCCCTGATCTACCAAAGGGACTCAAAACAACAACAGGCTCGAGGGAAAACCCGGTCAACCGGATCAAAAACCCTCGTCTAACACCCTAAATATAGAAAACCGTCGCTATCACGGAGGATTCCAACGGCCGCACTTCCAAGACAAGACCAAGGCAGGGCAGATTAAACCGGTCACGCTGATTACACACCCGAAGCAACGCTCTCGTCGTTTCTAGGCTTCAGCCGCGGGTGACGCGCCGGCACAACGCTTCCTGCGTGACGTACCATGGTCGATTATGCCAAGTGCTAAAACCATCACATAAACCAAACAAAACAAGAGAACACTACATCGGTGGGTTAATGAGGGCCTTCCGGTGGTACTCTAACTTCTCTCTGCCAAGGACCTTGGTCAGCATGTCGGCGTGCTGCTCTCCAGTCGGAACATACTCTGCACAGTTTTCTCGCCCGACTTGAATAGCTCGCGAATGAAATGGAACCCCACGTCGATGTGCTTGCTCCTCGCTGAGCTGAACGGGTTCTCGATTAAGGCGAGAGCCCCCTTGTTGTCCTCAAGGACCTTGATCTTCGCCCCACTCGCTTCGGGCGCTATGAACGACAGCACGCCAAGCACAAACACCGCCTCCTTCACGCCCTCCCCGGCTGCCACATACTCTGCTTCCGAGGTCGACTGAGCCGTCACTGGCTGCGTCTTGGTGAATGCACACACTACGGTACCACGTACGGTCACAGCTGACCCGGTCGTAGAACGCCTGTCTACTTCGTTGTCAGCGTAGCTAGCATCGACAAACACGCTTAGGTCTAGTCCTGACCCCCGCACGTAGGTGATGCCGANACCGCGGGCTCGTCATCTCTCTTCGGCCCTAGGTCGGCATCGGTGGCAGCAGGGGTGAAAGCGGTCGTGGTCACATCAAACCGCTTCAGCATACTCTCAATGTAAGCTGTCTGGGACAGCTTGGTGATGCCATTTTCTACATCCATGGCGATAGCACACCCTTCGTACCAGGTACGCTCTCCCAGATCTTTCACCGGAAACTTCTTGTTGAGGGCAGCGAACAACTCCTCTCGCTCTCCCTCGTCTGCCGCCACTAAGATGTCATNCAGCGGTCGTGGTCACATCAAACCGCTTCAGCACACTCTCAATGTATCCTGTCCGGGACAGCTTGGTGACGCCATTTTCTACATCCATGGCGATAGCACACCCGTCGTACCAGGTACACTCCCCCAGATCTTTTACCGGAAACTTCTTGTTGAGGGCAGCGAACAACTCCTCTCGCTCTCCCTCGTCTGCCGCCACTAAGATGTCATCAACGTAGATCACGATGAGACCTACGACCTCTCCATCCACCACCTTCCGGAAGACACACGGGTCAACCCTGCACTGCTCGTATCCATTCTCGATGAGGGCATCGGCAGCTTCAAACCCCCACTCACGGCCACTCTGCTTTAGGCCATACAGGGCACGCTCAACCTTGACCACCTTGCCGGACATGCTACCTCAGCCTTCCGGGAACCTGAGCTATATTTCTTCTTATAGCTTAGCGTGGATGTACGCTTGCTTCACATCACAGTGAGCGAGTTTCTTACCCTCTTCAGTTGCTACGGCAAACACCGTCTTGATAGACGCTGCAGACGGGCACGCTGAGGATGAGTGGTGGAAGTCGATGCCGGGGATTTGAGAGAAACCCCGCGAAACCATACGGGCCTTGAAGTCGACTATCAGGACCTCCTCATTCGTCTTCCAAGAGAACACCCACTTTGAACCTATGGCCTTCCGCCCCTCGGGCGGCTCCTTGACCTTGGTCAAGGTTCCAGTCTTGCCGTGGCCATCAATCTCTTTCTTCATGGCCGCCTCCCAGAAAACCTTGTACTTGGAACACATCACATCCTTGTACGTTATCGGTACTGCTTCCACATCACTCGGCTNGCGAAGACCCGCTGGCGTCGACCTCGGCCCCGAACGCCTGCTGTTCCGGGTCCAACACCTCCTGCATCTCGCGCCTGTACATCTCCTCCATACGGCGTGTCTGCTCCTCGTCCCACTGCTCCTTCACAAGCGAGTTGCACATGTAGTCCTCAACAATCCCCGTCCCGCCAGTTTCCAGGATGGTCACCAGCAATGCCTCTTCCGGGTCCGGTGTCTCTCCGGACCCCGGCATCTCCCCGGCACCTTGCATCTCCCGGGTCTGCTTCCGCGTGCGGCCACTCTCAAGCCCATGGCGCAGCGGGCCAGCGTTCGAGGCGCCCCAGAGGAGTTTCTTCCCTTCTAGCCCGCGGGGGTAGCGGTCGTCGGCTGGATCATACTTCAACTCCTCGAGGTTCTCGGACTCGCCGGGATAACCATCGCTACCGCCATCCCCACCTGGGTCGCCGGACTCTTCGCCGCCCGGGCCGCCGGCACCGCCGGCGTCACTGCTGCTGCTCGGGCTGCTGCTGCTGCTGCTACTGCTGTCGGTGGGGCTGTCACTGCCTGCGCCGAAGTCGCCCCTTCCCGAAGGGGGCGACGGGGGAACGCTGCCTCCGTCCCCCGGAATCCCGTTGCCGGGTGCCGTAGGCGCCTCCTCGCGCACAAACGGCGTCGCTTGCCCTGGCCCACGAGCCTCCATCACGTCGAGGTCGGACTCACTCTCTGAGTCTCTCTCCTCCCCCCAACCTTGGCGTGATGCATCCGCTCTGTTTTCGCCCTCCCCGCCCTCCTCGTCATCTGCGAGAGGTAGCAGCTGCGGGGGAGCGGGCGATGCAGCGGGCACGTGGCGCCAGGTGAAATTGCGGGTGGTGATTACGGTTCCAGCTTCGGTTAGCATGCGAACGCAGTCACGGGGGTGATTGTGGGCAGGACCAAGGTACCATCCTTTT